TTAAAAATAATAATAATGTGCTCCATCGTCAGTTTCTAGTTCATGTTATAAAAATCTATGCATATAACATCTACTGCTATTTGGAAGTAATTATTGCCAAATAACTAACAGATGATAACGAGTTTTATTGAAGATATGGATTACAATATGTCAGATACTAAAAATCGGACCTGCATACTGTAAGCGAGGAAAGTGTTCAGCATTTCATCCTCCTTATAATGAGCTATTATTTACAATTTATATTTTGTATTATTAATCTCGCCTTGTTGATGTTTTCACTATGATCGTGTAGTCTAACGCACACACCTTGGTTTTTTTTTTTATTTTAGAATTCAGTTATTTTATTTATTTTGTACCTTCTTACTGTTTTTTCTCCGAGCATTTGATACCCTAGACAGCTCAGAGACTTGTTTCTGGTATGTCAGTGATAAAGTCTCAATATCTGATTAAAAATTGGTATTTTACAAACATCAACAAATCTTATTTTGGAATATTTAATACATAATATATTCTAGACGTGTTTGTTGTTGAAAACAGTGGTAAATATTTCCTGATTACTAATCGCCTCTTTGTGAACTCTATTGAGGGCTATTCACGATGTCGATAGATCGAGATTGAAATTGAGCAGTTAAGCGAAGGTGAACCAGTTCGGGTTCAGATATTGCACCACGAGTTCCAAATATATGTTGACAAGATGGAGGTTCTGTAATGTACCATGTTAGTGATAATATCTCTTGTAAGTTACAACTGGAAGCCATGTCTTCGAGATCATCTTGATATGGAGCCAACACAGGAGGCCACTGCCCATATTTAGTTTAAAAGTCCCATAACACCGCAGCGATTAATCTCATTACATATATTAGAGTCGAAACCAAAAAGAACCTAGTCTTTATCATCCGAAATCCGGATCAAACCTAATTTTATTTTCAACTCTTTTTTTATTTTATTTATTTACAATAGAATAGAATAGAAAATAATTTTATTCTGGGACGAAGTAACTTTTGAATAATAAAACAGTACAAAATTAAAGTATTATATCTGGCCTAAGTAAAAACAAATAAAAAAAGTAAAGAAAAAGTTAAACATACTATGTACAAAATAAAAAAACGCTGCAAATTATTCCACAATGGTTTATTATTTCCAAACAATTATACATCTAAAGTAACATTACCTTCATAGTTTCAAAGAAAAATAAATAAAAGGTGATTCCAATTATTGGACTAAACTTTTTTTTTTTTAATCATTAGTAATATGCTAAAAAAATAGCATTACTTCAGTAACACATTCAAATTTTAAGAAACAAACATTTGAAGTAGAACATATAAAAAAAAAAACCGGAGACCATATCTTTGATCCTAATTGTCCGATTTTAACGACTTTTTTTTGGTTTCAGGAAATTTCGTAAACTTTTACAAAACCAGATACAACATTCCCAAAAAAGTGTATACTTTTTGAGTTATTCGAAATTAAATTTTACCATCCCTCGTAATTTTTTTTGCAGCTTCTTTTCGTTGAAGTATGTTATTTAGAGAAATTTAAAGGCCGTAGAGAAAATGACTTTAGCGAACTTTCATTGAAATCGCTACATTCGTTTAGGCGCTACAGTCTATAGCAACACAGGTCTTTTGGCCGTCATTTTGAAAGTAAAAGGCGGATAATAATGTCGATGAAGGAGGATCATCCTCGGGTAACCTCGGATTTTATATCCAAACGGCGGATGGACAAAAAAATGTTTATTAGTTTTTCGAACTCTACGCATCCTGAAACATGAAACCTCAAATTTTGAGAGAGGGTTAAGTTTTTGAATTCTTCAGTCGATCACAATGGTTAATTATTGAAAATAATAAACCAAAAATCTATATACAAAACACTTGAAACCATCCCAAGACACTTAAAACTATGTACAGTTGTAAAATATTAGTATACACTTTTAAAAAAAATACATTACATTCTTCTTAGCAATACACTCTGTGTTTTTGCATAAAAAAAGAAAAGAAGACGAATCTGATATTATGTATTTAAATGATGAATTATATGTAACTATATCATTATGTGAATCATTTTGAATAATATGTAAATTTACATAGAAGGTTATCGGGGTGTCTGATTGTTTTTGGGATAGAAATTGGAATAGGAGGGTTTTAAATGTAGATAAGGAGGGAGAATGCCGAATTTTTATAGGAAGGGAATTTCAGAAATTAACAGAGCGAGCAATAACGAGTTTTGGAACGAGGCAGATCTGTGAGAAGGAATGTAAAGGTCGGAAGGTCGAGATCTTGTGAAAATGGAGTGGACTGAGGACTTGAATTGGAGAAGGTTGTAGGCGTAAGAAGGACGATGATTGTTGATGATTTGATAGAGGAATGTACCTAGGAATTGTCTTCGAATGGAGGTGAAGAGCCACTCTAACTCAGTGTAGTGGCGAGAGACATGGGAGTATCTCGAGGCACCAATTACAAATCTTACGCAGCTGTTCATAAGTCTTTTTAGTCTATCACAGCCTATTACAGAGTCTATTTATTGAGTATCACAACAATCTGTCACGTGGACAATAGTTATAGTGAAGTAGGATAACATTCACACTGCATATACAAAAAATATAAAATAAATAGAAGCTAAATAATAATAAAAATGTATATACAATAAATAAAATAAAATAACCTAAAAATAAGAAAATTAAAACTAAGCAAAGAACACATGCATACCTAATTTTCAACTCTAGATAATGTATAATTAATTTAAGGGGAAATTTTTATTTTCGTAATTATTATTCTATTTAATACTTTTTAAATTTAGTATTAATACTTGAAGAACCACTAAGGAAACCAAAATATTTCAAAAATTGTAATCACATCTACAAATTGTACAAAATTTAATGACATCTTGTAATTGTAAAAAAACCTGTTGAGTTTTTTAAGTTTGTAGGTTCCTCTTCAAATTTTAAATATACCTGTTAATTTGTCTTCTTTTAATCTTAATGTTTAATTATAATGATTTTCAATTTTTTTTCTTTTAATTTTTAATATTTAAATTGTTCTTTTTAACTTCTTTTCTTTTAACATTAATTTAATTTTTTTTAACCGTATTTTTAGATTATATTCTGTGTCAACTTTTCTAATCTTTAATATTTAATTTTAATGGTTCTTGTCAACTTTTCTTCTTGTACTTTTATATATTTAAACTGTACTCTTTAACTTCTCTTCAATTAATATTAATTTTTATTTTTTAAAAACGTATTTTTAGCTTTTGTTCTTAAATCGTTAACCTTCGTTTTGATTGTATTTGTTAACTTATCTCCTTTTAACCTTTAACTTTCAATTGTACCATCATATTCACCTATAACTATTTTTAACTTTATAAACTTTAAATTGTATTTGTTAGCAGTAGATTTGTTATGTATGCCTATGTAGTAGTTGATTCAATTGTAATATAGGCCGAAAATGACCCAGTTGGTTGAAGAACCCAATACAGTTATAAATAAAATAAAAAATAATAACCTATTGCTATGAATCAGCTATACATATTTTTTTTGTTTTTATTTTTAATATTTTATCTCATCAAAACAAATCACAGCACATTATTTTTGCTCTACGACGTGAAACATGTCCTCCTATATATCTTGACAATGCTGAAATTCCACAAACAGATAAAATACAATACCTTAGACTAACATTCGACAGAAAAATGAGATGGGGCTCACATATCAACAAAAAAAGAAAAACGTTAAACCTCAGATTACGAATATTATATTCACTTCTTTCAAAATTAAAATTAAAAACAGAAACTGATCACCTACATTCATCTACTAAGCCTACATGGACGATTCTCAAATGTGCGGAACACGCAAACGTATACATACAAAACCTACAACTCCGTGGTTCGTCACAAACATTCGTTACATAAATATGTAAACATGTCAACAGTTAACGATCACATACGGACACATTACAAAATATTTCACAATAAGCTACATGGACATACTAACTCACTGATACAAAAGACATTTCCATGATTAACATGACCGAAAACTTCCTTAGGAAACTCAAAAGAAGCAGGATGATAGACTTTTTTTTTTTTTTTTGTCATTCCCTTCAACGCCTTTAAGGCTATACGGAGTTCTCCCGGGCCAGAGGGTGAGGGCGGAGATTAATAGCAGATTTAAAAGACTCCCCCGGCACTGGGACGCAAACTCGTGACTATTTTTAACAGTTTATCTTATATATCAGGCTGTCAGGCAACGTCAGAGGGATTTACTACATTGGAATTTACTTTACCTAAAAATATACAGAATTCAAGTTAAGAAGGGATACCTCTGAGCACTCCTTTCCCTTATGCCCCTCAAGCCACTATTAGTATTTTTCCGACAGCAGACTATATATATATAGAACTGCTAATTGTCAATACTTCTTATAGGTGTGGGTAAAAACAAATATATTAATGGAAAAATTTCAAAACATATAGCTTTATGTCTCCAAAATTCAGGCAAAGAAAAATCCGTCAACGTTTCAGGCTATTCAGACATCATCTGGACAGAAAAAAAAACAGCTGATCGGACACCATTCCATGAAATCCAATCGCATAATCCACATATACACAGCATGTAGTGATGTTCGATTAGCTATTTTTTTTTCCTTTCATGATGATTTGGTGAAACTTTGACGGGTTTTTATTTGCCTACATTTTGGATACATAAGCCTGTATTGGATTTTTTCCAGTACTCCATATACTTTTCTGCAAGGAAGAATCTAAGTAGTTCTTTAATTCGAAAAATAAATACATTAAGAATAACACTGAATTCTTGAACAGCTCTGAATTATCTCGATTACAGAACAGCGCCTTAAAGTCTTTGAGAATAAGGTGAGAAGAACCATTACGTAGAATATTTGATTCCACTGCCATTTCGGGATTACAAACAATATTTTCAACAAAGTAGTGGATGTATATATTACAATATATATTTCTCTTTATGTTTGATTACTAATTGATTATTACACTTATAGCTGGAACACCTCGAGCCCTCACAACGTCGAAGAGCTGGGATCGTATCCTGAGGGAGACATCATATTCCCCCGACCTCGAGCAAGGAATGGCCTAAAAGCCACTTCGGCCCGGTGGCCGGGAGGTCGTGTACCATATGTCATCGGTGCGTCTTTCTCCTCGCATGACCTGTCCATGATAGAGGCCGCAATCCAGGAGTACCACAAGCGAACATGCGTCAGGTAACCTCTTGTTTATTCTATAGTCATTAGTTATTAGTTGATAACGTAGAACGGCTTAACCGTCGATATGAATAGGTTAGTAGACTACTGAATAGAAAATTTCAACTTTCAGTTAACAACAAATCACTGATCTGCAAGACAAAGCTATTTGGATCTACGAACTAGAACTGTTTGGAACAAAACTTTCTAACATCAAATTCTCGCATTCAATCCTTCCAGCCTAAAACGTTCGAACTTCAGTCGATGGTCCCTTTCTATGTAGCCAACAAAACCTTCCATAATGACCATAATATCTCATATATTAAGTGAAACCTTATGCCAAACAAATTTCACCAGAATCTCACTCATAATCCAATAGCAATAACAAAATCCCTGTTAGATTCAGCCATCCGTATAATCTTCCCTGGGGATTAAAACGGAAATGTCCTAGTGATCTTTTGTAAATATTCATATATATTGGAGTTTTATCCTGATAGTTTGTATCTGTAGTATCATCTTTTAGTCTCCACTGGATGACCAATAGCAATGACAAGTTTAGGAAAGAAGCACTAGGATTTCCTGGAGTCCTGCTTTGACTTCCACACGTGGAGGACAACAGCTTGACTATATGTTCCCCGGACAAATGTAATATACTGGGGATATGACTGTATTTATTTATTTTAAAAAAAACCAAAGAGATTCATTTAATTTTAAAAGAAGGAGATGGTCCAGGGGGAGGGAGTCATAAATAGGCTAAATAGTGATAAAATTATTTTATTAAAAGCCAACATTTCGACCCGACTTTGAAGGTCTTCTCCAGGTTTATAATTTAATATTTCATAGATATAGTATTTTTCCCTTGTATCCATCCATATCTTCAAATTTTAGATACTGTAATTTTTTAGGTTTTTTGCGCTAACTATCGAGGAATCTCACTCCTTTCGTGTGCTTATAAGCTGCTCTCTAACATTCTTTTTGAGAGGATCCTCCCGTATTCTGAAAAGGAACTGGGGAAATATCAGGCTGGATTTCGAAGAGGACGCTCAACGACTGATCAACTGTTCTCTCTGAGGATGATCCTAGAAAAGACTATGGAGCGTAAGGTAGTCACCCACCATTTATTCCTGGACTTTAAAGCAGCATACGACAGCGTTGATAGAACGCAACTATACTGTGCCTTGGAGGAGCTAAGCATCCCTCAGAAGCTCGTACGCCTAATCAAGATGACCATGGACAGCTCGAGATGCAGAATACGCGTCGGTTCTGACGACTCCGAAGAGTTTAAAGTGAGCAGTGGGGTTAGGCAAGGGGATGCCCTCGCCTGTCTATTGTTCAATTTGGCAGAGGAGAAAGCTGTAAGAGACTCCGGTATTCAGACCAAAGATATAATCTTCAATCGCCTGACACAGCTTCTTGGTTTTGCTGATGATATTGACATAGTAGGTAGGTCTGAACGGGCTCTCAGAGAAGCGTTTATAAGCCTTGAAGCAGCTGCAAGACCACTTGGTCTAGAAGTCAACGAGAGGAAAACTAAGTATATGAGAGTTGGCGGTGAGGTTGATCTGAACTCTCCATTTGAGGTAGGTTCTTTTAAGTTTGAGAGAGTGAAAAGTTTTATATACCTTGGGTCTGAAATCAATAGCAAGAATGACATGGCTCAAGAAATACAAAGAAGGATCACGGCTGCCAATAGATGTGTCTTTGGACTTGGCCGACACTTAAGAAGTAGGTACCTCTCAAAGAAGACCAAGCTGATCATATACAAGACCCTTGTTCGGCCTGTTTTGACATATGGCTCAGAGGCTTGGACGATGACCAAAAGGGATGAGATGAAGCTGAGTGTCTTTGAGCGAGGAGTCCTCAGAAGGATTTATGGTCCAGTAAAGGAGGGTGATGTCTGGAGGAAAAGAAAAAATAGGGAGCTCAGTTCTCTCTATGCAGACATCGACGTAGTCACGTATATTAAACTGGCCAGACTAAGGTGGGCAGGGCATGTGGCCAGAATGAGCACCCTTGAAATACCAAAAAAAATAATGATGGAGGAGCTGCACCTCGTAAGACGGGTAGGAAGGCCGAGGACGAGATGGTTGGACAACGTGGCCTATGATGCGAGAACCCTGCTTGGTGTGCGGAACTGGAGAGCTGCAGCAGAAGACAGAGCCAACTGGCGGAGGCTCTTGGAGGAGGCCCAGTCTCGGTGACGGGATGTTGTGCCATACATGAATGAATGAATGAATTTTTTAGGTTTTTCCCCATTATCCAAACATGTCAGCTTCCCCATTACATGCCCTTACCCTGGTTTTCCAGTTCTAAGTGAAACTCATAGCTGAACACACCTGTAAGTCTCTGATTTTATTTCCTTATTTATTTGATTTTTTTGGTTTTCTTTTGTCATTTCTTTCTCCACATTCCTCTATGTCTATTATTTCATATTATTTCCTTTTTCCTTTTCTTTCAATCTCTCCTGTAGATCTATAGAAGTATATTTACATTTGTCATTTATTGTTTCAGTTTAGGATCTTGTTACTTAGCTTACTCTGTTCATATTTTAATGTACTTACCGTTTATAATTTTATTAAGCTTATTCACATTGTTTATAATTTTTTGTCTAAATATTATGTAATTTCCACAATTCTCTATCTTTTTGTATCTTGTCCGTTCTAGCCCTGAAGAAGAGCTGCAAAGTCGGGTCGAAACGTTGGCTTTTAATAAAATAGTTTTACCACTATTTAGCCTATTTATGACCGCCCACCGGACCATCTCCTTCCTTTATAATGCAACGGTCAACTATTAAATATTCAATTATTTTATTTTACTTAGCTTCAATTTATTATTTTATTTTTCATATATAATTTTTACCTTACGTCGGACCAAGCCCATTTTACAAATTATACAAATAAAAAGATGTATGAAAGACAGAAATTTTTAAAGATAATAATAGTTGAAAAAATGCATTTTGAACAGTTTAAAAAAATCTTATCTGGGTGATGGCATCAGGGCGCAGTCTCCGGAAACCTGAACGACAGCGCTGCTCTGCGGTCATTTCACCTTATATTTAAAATAAAATATCACACTATCACTAAAAGTTCTTCAAGTATAAACTTCTCTAGTCGAGTTTTACACTTTGTGGGGAGTGAATGAGACTGTGGCATCAGACACGAATATGTAACGCTCATTCAGGTAAAGTCGACTCGAGTTGAAGTGTTTTAGCATATGGATTAAAATATCTGCGAAACTAAAAATAGGACCTGCATATTGTTAGCGAGGAAAATGTTAAGCATTTTATCCTCCTTACAATGAGCTATTACTAAAAATTGTATCTTAACGCGACGCCATGTTTGAGAGCCGAAAAGATAAAAACAGTTTCGAAAATCAAATGAAAACAAGTTTCATTGAAGATGTTAGTCAGTGATACAGACCCCTCTTTATCGAATTATTAACATCCGGATAAGACTTCGTAAATAACTTCATCTCATGGTAACCTACAAATATTTTATTTGCGAAAATTTTGGAATTAGGGTGTTTTCAATCTGGAGGTCGGCAAATTTTCTCTATTTGATTAGGTACTAAAAATTCGTAAATACCCTTTTGCTTTCCACTTTAATTGTAAGATATCTTGAGCACAAAGTCGAGAAAAATGGTATCCGTTTGGCCTATATAACCTCGTTATTTACATGAAGAAAGAATTATAAATGTTAAAGTGGTAAGACAAGAACTGAAGTACAAAAAGTCATGACATTGAAATGAATTATTTCCTCAAAATTCATTTCAATAGCCAGTTATTGCAACATTTAGAAAATTTAATTTTTATATTATAGTCCATGGTACAGACCCCTTTTTATCAAATTATTAACATCCGGCTGAAACTTTGTAAATAGCTTCATCTCATCGTAACCTAAAATATTTTATTTACAAAAATTCTCGGAAATGAGGCGTTTTTAATCTGAAGGTCGGCAAACTTTCTCTATTTGATTAGGTACTAAAAACTCGTAAATACCCATTTCCTTTCCACTTTAATCGTAAGATATCTTGAGCACAAAGTCAATAAAAATGGTAGCATTCAAAAGTATTGAGCCGTTTGGCCTATATAACCTCGTTATTTCAATGAAGCAAGAATTATAAATATTAAAGTGGTAAGACAAGAACTGAAGTACGAAAATTTATCACTTTGGAATGAATTATTTTCTCAAAATTCTTTTTAATAGCCAGTTATTGCAACAATTAGAAAATTTACTTTTTATATTATAGTCCATGGTACAGACCCCTTTTTATCAAATTATTAACATCCGGCTGAAACTTCGTAAATAGCTTCATCTCATCGTAATATAAAAATATTTTATTTACGAAAATTCTCGGAATTGAGGCGTTTTCTATCTGGAGGTCGGCAAACATTAACTATTTAATTAGGTACTAAATACTCATTAGCTTTCCACTTGAATCGTAAGATAACTTGAGCACAAAGTCGGGAAAAAAGGTGGCCTTAAAAAATATTGAGCCGTTTGGCGTGACCTACACCCCCAAATTTTTCAAATAACGAGATTATATAGGACAAACGGCTTAATACTTTTGAAGGCCTCTTTTTTTCTCGTCTTTGTGCTCAACTTATCTTACGATTAAAGTGGAAAGCAAATGTGTATTTACTAGTTTTCAGCACCTAATTAAATAGACAGAGTTTGCCGACCTCTAGATTGAAAACGTCACAATTCCGAGAATTTTCGTAAATAAAATATTTGTAAGTTACGATGAGATGAAACTGTTTACGAAGTTTCAGCCGGATGATAATAGATTGATAAAAAGGGTACCACGGACTATACGGATTAAAATATCTCAGAAAATAAAAAGTGAACTTGCATACTGTAAGCAAGAAGAATTTTCAGCACTTGATGTAATGAGCTATTAAATTATCTAAGTGAACATTTCTTTTTGTCTATGTTCATAGGACTATGTTACTTGCTATGTGTGTGCGTTCTGATTTTCTGGTGTTAAAAATTTGGCAATCGAATACTTTTTTTTTAGCCCTATAAATTTTGGACATTGCCTTATATGTAATATATTGTATAATTCTAATTGTATATATTAGTATGTTATATCATTGACATTGTTTGTGATGTATAATAGGAAAAAGAATTTGTATATAATTTGTATGTCCAAAAAAAAGGGTTGATGAGTACGCTGTGTATCGAGCAACCCTATATAGTAGGGCAGCACTGCTTTAAATAAATTATTTCTCTCTCTCAATATTGTATTTTGACGCGACGCCGAGTCAGAGAGACGGAAAGGGAAAATGATATGGCCAAAAAATCACATAAGAACGAATGTTTTGAACATTTATACTAAAGTATCTCATACTTTAATGCCCCTGAGAATTCAGAAACTGATTTGTGAAAGTCGATATATGTGTATATACATTGAAAAAAAAAACCCTTAACGTGTGCAAATCTTTAAACCAAACAAAGGTTGCTTGCCATATAATGATGAATTTTTTGCAGTCACGTGTTGGAGAATTACCTTCGGTGGAAGATAACTGTTGCAAAATAATTAATTGTCACAAAATAAATAAAGCCTCAACAAATGACGTGACATTTAGCATTAAGACTTATCTTCATCTTTTATCCTCCAAAGCTAAAGGCTTGACAGGAACAATAGAAATTAGGAGGAAAGAATTCTATTGAAGACTTCCTCGTTGCAAAAGCTCTCAAGACGCCTCCGCAACGGAAACGAACCTTTTCGTGACATCCATCAATCATGGCGTGCCCGAAGGACGGCTTCCGGTATCGTTCCTTAGAAACCCACCTTCTCTCCCTCTCTTATTTTCTGGTTAATTACTTAAATGGTGTCCTACTTCCAGTCTTTAGCATATATATACAAGTTTAGGTTATTTTATCATGTATTTGTTGTTTTTAAATTAAATTAAATGTATTTTTTTTAAAAGAAGGAAAGCCTATTCAAATAGTGAAGAATTACTCCTACTTAGAAACACAATTTAGTTCGACAGGAAAATACCTTCAAGCTACAAATATTTCAATTAAAATAGCAAAAATCGCTATAGCAACAGCTCTGACCGTTCTAAGGATTTTTTTTGTCTTCACATTTTCATCCGCACCTATCATGGTAGTGACAATTAGCAGATTTGTTTTTAGTAGAAAATGGCATGATAGACATGACGAAGAATGGAACCCAGCAGCACCTCTTCCCTGGTCTGTTACATCCTAAAATCAGGAAAGGAGATCTCTCATCCAGCTCCTTTTCAGTCGCCTCCTGATGAGCATTTCAGCCGTAGTCATGTCGTTGATAAGTCCATTGTGATGTCCGTGCAGTTTACAATGAAATCGGGAGTAGAGAGTACGTATGTGCTGGGCATTGGTTGGTTGTATGTAAAGTCTTGTTGTTGACATACCAGGAGGCCGCAGTTTTTAGTCTCAAAATTTTAGATAGAAAAATTGTAGTTTTTGTAAGTGAGTCTTTTTAGCTGAACCGTAAATCTGTGAGGTGTTTGTCCAAATGGGTTTGAGCAGGTAAGTGTATGTATTTAGTTTTTGTGTAATTTTCCAATTCCAACAAGGAATTAAATCTGAAAATTGGCACTCAAAACATAAGCTGTATCAATCAATCATTCGTTCGACATTATTATATTGTTCAGAAATATGGGGTATGCAATATTGTCCTAATTTAGAATCAATCCGTGTCTTCACATGGTGGGATATTGATTGACCAGTTTCTGTAAGCCGTTCTTTATTGGTCTTTCTTCACTATTTTTTAGTACTCTGATCCCAGATCGCTCCGGTTATCATGTGGAGAATTTTTCCCTCAAATCTTTCAATACTTTTTTTCTAGGGTGTTGTTTAGTGTCCAGGTCTCACAGCCATATATTAGAGCCATAGCATTGTACACCCATAATTTGAGATATCTTGAGATTTTTCGGGATTTCAATATTTTCCTTCTACGCAGATACTGTTATTCGGGTGGAACTTTGGGATTATTATCATATATTTTGTTTTTTCTTCATTTACTTGTAGGCTGATCTGCTCTGGCTCTCTTAACAGAGTTGTCGCGAGTTTCTCAATGCCCTTTTGATTACTCCCAATTACGTATCTATATAATAATATAAACTTAATACTTCTTAATTTTAATTTTAAGAAGTTTTTCTTCCGGTTTCCAGCTAATCCGTTTGGTTAATTCTAAAAATGTATACGACAACATTTGTTAGGCTCGGGCATTTGAATCGAATGACACCTTGAACGGGAAGAACAAAGTTGAAAAATGAGTGTTTTAAGCAACAACGTGTTACAGATGTTCAGTATTTCGGATTTTTCCCGTTGAGTTGAGATAATTTTTTCCATCAGTTGAATAGTACAACTTTTAAATGTCGCTCGTGATAGAGTTGGTTGGGATGAGAATCGAAGTTACTGGCTAACAAATTACTCTATAATTCATAACGTTGGTTCTGCTCAATATCTTGTTTTTATTCAAAGCCTATATTTTAAGTCAAGAAAATCTAAATATAAGGTCAAAATTTCAAAAGTCTACCATTAGCCATTGCCGAGTTTACTCCTGACAAAATTTCGTTGGACAATGCAGACAACCAGACAGACAAAAAATCTTTTAAAAGTGGATTTGGTGACTTTAATGTATGGAACTGAAAGATGTCATGAAACGGGTTGATTCTATTCAATGTACAGCCAAAACCTTTATTCCATTTATATAGATATTCTTTAACCTATAAACATATGTTTATTATTAACATTTGTTATCAACATTAACCGACATCTCTAGATAAATTACTCAAGAAGTCATAACTTTGGTTATACTCAATATAATGTCAAGATTTCAAAAGTCTACAATAAGCCATTGCTGAGCTTACCCCTGACAACATTTCGTTGCAATCTGGACATACAGACAGACAAATTTTTTTAAAAAGTGGATTTGGTGTCTGCAATGTATGAAACGGAAAGATATCATAAAACGGGTTGATTCTATTCAATGTACAGACAAAATCTTTATTTTATTTATATATAATATAATATAGATATATATATTTTCAGATTCGTACCGCGATCTTCGGAGATGGACTACATCGTGATCACGAGCGGGCCGACCGGGTGCTGGAGCTCGGTGGGGAGGATCGGCGGGGCCCAGGAGCTGAACCTGCAGTCGCCGGGCTGCCTGGTCAAGAAGGGCACCGTCATGCACGAGATGATGCACGCCCTGGGCTTCCTCCACGAGCAGAACAGGTGGGAGCGCGACCAGTACGTCACCGTCAACTTCCAGAACATACAGCCAGGTAACCATAGTTACAGGCAGCTATATATATAGCAGAGGTTGCAACTTGTTTAAATCACCACTAGGTGTTCCTCAAGGTAGTATCCTAGGTCCTATCCTTTATACAGCTGATAGCCCTGGAGCCAGGGCCCAAAAATCGACCTGATCGCAGGCGAAGGTTTGATTGTAAATTACGAAAGTGTGTGTTATTCTGAATAAAAAAAACCTTATCTGCCGTTCCGGAGCCGCTGCTTTCAAAAATGGCGGCTGATTTAAAGAATATTAGGCCAATAATTTGAGGGTCGAAACGAAAAATCCATTGCGAAAAATTTCTATTTTTTTAACTTGTATATATGGGTTTAGACATGTAAAAAACAAAATCGCTTACGCAGGCCACCAAGAGAAAACTTTTTACAGCCAAAAAATTCAGATTTTTTCGATATTTTTGGAGGTTTTCAACTATAACTCCTAAACGATGCATCAAATCGAAAACTGTATTCTTTAATGAATTAAAGAACTTTAAATTTTGAGTCAAACGAGTACATAAACTTTAAAATTCGGTTACGCAGTAAGGTATAAAACCACGGTCAACCAACGCTGAGTTTTACCAAATTTGCCAAAAACTGAGACAAATTACTATAAATGGCTCTGTAACTTAGAAACGAGTTCCCTAAGAAGAAAAACCCATAGAATCAAAGTTGTAGAGCATCAAATTTTGCGTATACTCAGTATCAACTAATTTAATGTAGGTCACTTGCTGCGAACAAAATCGGTAATTTCCCGATGCTTAGAAATCGGTAATTTCTCGATGCTTAGAAATTGGTAATGAAGGGAAATGTGATTTTCAATAATAATAATAATAATAATGCTTTATTTATTCTGGGACGAGTCCCTTTAGAATAATACAGAGACAAAATGTGGCTAGGAGCTCAGATACTAAACAAATATTTGATTAATAGTCAATAAAAAAAATTATAAGTTACTCTCTAATTTAAATCAGTTAATAATAAAAAAATAAAAAATTGAAAATAAACATAGTAAAAATAACAAAGAACGATCTAACAATTTATATACATATTTACAGTAGTAAGTATTTACAATTTTATGATGAGGACTGGATGGATAAGAAATGATTAAACAGTCGGGATTTAAAGGTAGGAAGGGTTTTGGATTGACGGATGTGGGGAGGGATGGAGTTCAATATAGGATCGAGTAAAAACGATTTATCGAAAGCAGCGGTTCGGTGAGCCATTATATATAAATCTGAAGACCGGGAACGGGTATTGCGAGAGTGAACAGAGGATTTAAATTGAAAGAGCTCGAAGATGTATGATGGACGGCGTGACTGAATGAATTGGAAGAGGAAGGATGCCAGGAAATACTTACGGCGGTAGGAAGGATAAAGCCACTTCAACTCTTCATAGGAACAAAAAACAGGGGCGTCTCTTGGGATCCCGAAAATGAATCGTACGAAGCAATTTATCAAACGTTTTAGTTTCGCCTCGAGATCCCCAGAGACGCCTCCATATACCGTGCAGCAATAGTCGAAGTGGGGAAATGTTAAGGAGGTGACCAGGAGTCTACGGATTTCAAAAGGAAAACGGTGTCGCAGGCTATTTAAGTGTTTTAGGGTGGAAAATCACTAGTGATAATGATAAGTATCGACGATTTTTTTTTTTTTTGAATTATAATATTTTCCAACTTGTTTTAAATAGATTGGTATACCCTTGTCTCATTTCAGGACGCGAATCGAACTTCGACAAGGCCAAGAAGTCTGACACAGACTCGATGGGGATCAGCTACGATTACAAGAGCGTGATGCACTACTCGGCGAACGCCTTCTCTTCTAACGGACAGCCCACCATCGTGCCCAAGCAGCCCGGCATCGAGCTCGGCCAGAGGGACAACGCCTCCAAGCAGGACATCCAGAAGATCAGGAGGATGTACAGGTGCAAGAAGGTTCACTGATCTCGCCTCCGCTTCCTTTTGGCAACCACCTTTCTTATTTATAATTTTATCTTACAAAAAGGCTGATTTTTTTTACACATTTACTATATAAAACTTTTTATACACAATACATACTTTTTAAAATTTTCGCTTTTTCTATATTATCCTAGTTCACTGTTTCAATACTACCTACTCTTTAATAACATATGGTAAGCGAACCAGTGATGGGCATAGCTAAGCAAATGTTTGTCTTTTTTGGCTTATGCCGCCGTAATCCATCCACACATATATTATTACAGTAAGGCTCGAAATTTGTACCAAATATAAGCTCCTGTCAAGCTCAAATACCATGAATGGAGTACAGAATGGAGTCACGGGGGGTTAGCGAATCGTATTCTCCACTTTTGTCTTTCTTTCTAAAATAAATTATGTCGATACAAACATTTTGCTAGGCTTCAATACAGGAACGGTGGTAGGTCTGTAGATCGATACGGGACAAATTGGACCTTGAAGATTTTGATGCGTACAGCAAGACCCGGATAGTTCCTCCGGAACTATCGGATCCTGCGTTTTTAAGCCCCAAAACGTAGTATTTTCGAGATAACGCAAGGCATAGGGTTCGCATCCACACAACCTTACGTTAATTGTAGTACTGTCATTGAATACATGTCTCATTTCGTCGACTTAAGGTCTCTATGATCGAGAGAGGAGGAGTTTATATTATTTATCGATGGTGTTTTTGATCGGCAAGCCATATCTTCACCAAATTTCAAGATTGAGCCACCAACTTCGAAGGCTTCCTTCTCCTTCAGGCGGGTAAAATAGTCCAATCAACCTGAAAATTCAGGCAAACATGTTATGAAAGAAAACACACTTTATTTGCGAATAACTAAAAAATTACACACTTTTCCCTTTGTTATGCCCATGATTGTATAAAAGATTACAAAATTCCCTACAAAAAGACAAAAAAAAATCACCGTAATCGGACAATTTTTACCAAAGATACAGCTTATTGAAATTTGTAAACATGTTGGTTCCAAACATTGATGAAGATTTTAAATAATTTTTGTTTCCTTTATCGATTATATTTATCGATAAATTAACAATTGATTTTTTTATCTTTTGATACGTTGCTTTTTTTTTTCTCTTAATAATTTGGCATTTGATAACAATATGCTGTGCGAATTTTTCGCACGGGCCTGCTAGTTATTATAATTATAAACTTCTCCGTTGGACATTTAAAATATCTAGTCTTATTTTTATATTCAAGACTTTAAAATTGAAAAAATATTCAGTTATGCAGGTATAATCTTCATTACAAAAAAACATCTTTTAGCATTAATGATGGACACCCCGAACTTCAATTGTTCTATTAATTGCCCATGGGTCAGTACCAGTAATAGACATACTTCAGAAAAAATCTAAAATCTTTACTTAATAATAAAGATAAGATAACATTAATGTTGAACTTAGCCAACTTGTTAGTAGGAAGGTATGAAACACACTGATCTCAAGAGCACTATAAACAACAATGATAGGCATTTTAGAATTTTATTTTGGAAACTGTTCTTCCAGCTGTCAATAGAGGGCATTGTTCTTCAATTTAGAAAAAACAGGAACCTTTAAGTCAACAAGGAAGCTTACTATTTACATTTAAAGTCCTACCTGTCTATAACTGGTGGGTTCACCCTAGTTAAAATTCTTAATTAAAAATCTTGTTGTAACAAAAGGTACCTTAGAACTTAGAGCTCGACCCGTCTGGTCCAATATCTTATCAGCAGGGCTTTTTTTTCATTTAAGTTTCTTTTCATCCATAACTTTTTTTCCAGAAATTTCGGGGGATTGAACTATTTTTCGCATGTGAAGGAGAAGAATATCTTCAAAATGAGTGGTCTATTGACCATTGGGCAACGAAGTTATGGCGTACCGACAAAAAACACCTTTTAGAAATAATATATAGGTTTTCATATAATTATACGTAATCCTCATATAACAGTTTCAAGAAATTCAGCAAATATTATTTCCCAGAAACACATAAATATTTAGGTATGCTCCTAAACTCATCGAAGGAATTCAGAGCTTTCATTTATGATTCGTGATTCCATTGGCATTTGGTTATATCACTTAATTTTTTTTATATATAATAGAAATAAATAGAATTATTAAGATTTTTTAACTTTTTAAAAAATTGTTTTTTAATGAAAGTAAGATGGTAAGTGAAAATTGTATGATACACTGCCTCAGATTTTTAGGTTATAGATTGAATATAACATAATTTGTTAGTTGGATTAAGTAACCCTTGGCACAGCAACCGTTGGCAACAATGTAGATCAGCTGATTGCTGCAGCCACTTGCCAAGTGGGATCGTTGCCTACACAATAGTTCAGTCAGAGATGAGCTCCGAACTGGACAGCGTGGACTCCATCCCGCCATGGAACTTCAAGTGGGTGGTCAAAGGCGAGCTGGCCATCATGGGCTACCCGAAGAGCAAGGAGAACATCAAGTACCTCGTCGAGAACGGCATAGTCCACCTCGTGTCGCTTTCTCCGGAGAAGCAGCCCCCCTTCGAGTACTTCCCCTTTAACTTCCGCTGGACTCCGATCGACGTCTTGGAGTACGAACCGCCTTCCATGGATCAAATCCATGCCTTCATAAACACCTGCAAGGTGGCGCTATTCAACAAAGAGGTAAGATCCGTTTAGTTGGAGAACCGTGAGAAAAAATGGACATTATTTGATGAAAATTCTATAATGAAGTGGTCTTTAATATCAATCTGGTCTTATCCCCATTGATGTCACTTTACAGGGCTTAAATGCCCAATTTTCATATACGTCTTCCTCTAAAGTAGCTTTAATATACTTTATTTTAAATTAAATAATCATCTCAAAAGTTACTAAAAATGCTTTTTTTTTTTTTTATTATTTTAATGAAATTTACAACTGTATTACATAGAAAATACAATAAGTTAATGTGAAATTGGTAACATGACATGTACATGAAGAGAAATTACCCATTGGTAGAACTCAAATTAAAGTTCTATATTAGAAGATCCCGAGGCCATCTTCTTTTCAGATGCCTCGGAGGGTTATCAGGGATCGAGGAGGAAGCAAGGTTTGAAATGAGAGGATTCGGATGGTTCTGCAGTTTGTTATGGAAGGATAGGTATCTGGATTGGGCCAGATCGGAAACATATGGAACATTAAGGTCTTTATGGATGATTTTGTTTGTGACAAAGTAAGGAGCGTTGAGGATTTTATGAAGGATTTTGGATTGTAAGGATTGGATACGAGAGGAATTCGATGGTTTAGTGGAGCCCCAAAGCTCAATTCCGTAAGTTCAAATAGGTCATATTATTGTCATATATAAAAATGAACATTATTTGACGAAAATTCTAAACGATTTTTTTTTTAAATATCTTTAACATTTATAATAAAAAAAATCTGGTGTACGCATCACACGACTTTCACTTACCATCCTCTTCTTAGCAGAAATAATTATTTTCAGACAAAGGGGAAGTGAAAATAAAAATTATTGACGCAACAATTAAGTATTAAATAATACCAACAGTAGGTTCTATGAAAACCGCATATGTATATGTACATAATATTGTCGGAGTCCGTATTATATTAAGCTCATGTTACGTATTAAAGTCAGTTGTAATTTTTCGAAGTACCACTTCCGGTTTGCCGATTTTGAGACAAGTTTTTCTGTAACATCAAAGGCTTATAAAAACTTGGGAAAAGTTTTTGTTCTTTTAACTTGTATATATCGATTGAGAAATGTAAGAAACCAAATTGCGAACGCGGGCTTCCAAGGGTAAACTTTCGCAGTGAAAAACGTACTCTTTAAACAATTAAAGAAAGTTAAATTTTGTGTCTAGTGGGTGCCTAAACTTAATTATCTTGTCAAGGTGTATGGCCGATAAACACGACCAACGAACGCTGATTTTAACCAAGTCCATCAAGAACTGAGAATATTTTCTATTAATGGCTCTGCAACTTTTAAATGATTTCTCTAAGAGGAAAAACTCAGAGAATCAAAGTTATAGAGCATCAAATTCTTGGTCTACTTAGTACAATCAGTTTTAATGTAGATAAAATTGCATCTATCCTATCGAGATTCGTTATTTCTGCACGAAATTCGGATTTTCTTTTATACCTCATTTCTCAAAATCCTTAGCTGCTTAGAGATGGAAAATATTCTTATACTGTATATACTAGTCTCTTAAGAAGAATAACTCGGTAGAATAAACATCCATCCTGTTTATATATTTAATATTACAGATATCTCATTCATTTTCCCCCACTTTGACTACAGCTGTGTGGTGGTGTATGATGGCCTCTCAGTGCAGCTCCGCGATAGACTGAAAAGAATAATGAACAGCTGTGTAAGATTTGTGATCGAGGCCCCAAGATACTCCCATGTCTCTCACCTCTTCGCTGAGTTAAAGTGGGTTTTCCCCTCCATTCGAAGACAATATTTTCTAGTTACCTTCCTCCACAAATCATCAACAACCATTGTCTTTCTTACGCCTACAATCTTCTCCAGTTCAAATCCTCAGTCCATTCCCTGTCCACAAGATCTCGACCTTCTAACCTTTACACGCCTTCTCACAGATCTGTCTCATTCCAAAACTCCTTTATTGTTCGCTCTGTCAATTTCTGGAATTCCCTCCCTATCAAAATTCGACATTCCCCACCCATATCCACATTCAAAACCCTCCTATCCCAAAAACAGTCAGATAATTTCTAACCATTTGACAACATACATTTTTTTCATGCCATTCATTGTCAAATATCAATGCTAAGTGATAATGTATTTATATATTGATCAGGCACGTTATATTGTCAGATTCAGCTTTCTGTTTTCTCAACAGAAACACAAAGCTGATTTTAATAAAGAATTTGATAAAAATGATATATTTTTATTTTTTAATTCTTTATTATTTTCTTAAAAGTGTATACTGGTCTATCAGTGCTAATATCTTTAAGCGTCTTGTCATAGTGTTAATTGTTTTGTATTTAGTTTTGTTTGTTTGGTATTGGTAGAATGTTAACCTTATATTTTCTTTACATTATTTCTTTTTTTTCCATTGATTTTAATTTGTCCAGATGTAATCATTTAATTTTGTTCTATTTTGCAATTCTCAAGGGACTGTGTCCCAGAATAAAGTTATTTTCTATCTATCTATCTCTCTTCATTATCGATTTTCTATTCAATTGCTATTCACTATCGATTTCGAGCGGAGTAAGTAACCTACATTATAACAGTTGTTACTCAGTGACATAGGCCTCGACTACGAGGGGGGGACTAGAAAGGCGATCGCCCCCTCCCTCCTCAATAAAAATTTTAAGGGGGCGAGAATATCGTTTCAGCTCCACAATAATTTTAAGAAAAATAAATTTAATTTATAACAAATAAGATACATAAACGAATAAAATATGTAAACAAAATCGATTAGCTGGTAAGGCTATAGTAGGTACTATTTTATCACGACCTAAATATTCCAATTATTTACGTATTCATTTATATTCAGAGATAATAATATAGAAACATTTCCTACGATTTTATGATTCATTCACCTCTAATGTGTAAACCTCCATTTTTACGTGATTTTCTTCTAAAGTTTCTACAATAAAGTTGGAAAAAATATAAGTATAAGTATAAATATATTTTTTAAAGAATATTTTGTAGACATTTTTGTGTAACTAAATGTGCAAACTAAAAAACTTCTTATAAACGGTGCAAACGAAAGTAGAATTTAAATATTCGTAGATTATATATAATTATACATCCTGCAGTCTATTTCTCCATTTGTCTTTTGATTTGAAACTTTTCATTTTGTAAATTCATAACCACATAGAAATGTGTCCTCCTTAAAAATTTAAAATCTCGTCAATATGTGACCCCATCATAAATTTTGGTGGCAAGATTTGCTCCAGAAGATCCCCTTCTGGACACTCCTGGTGTGGTCTAAAGCACATCTTAGTTTTTTTTTTCAATAATGTTTCAAAATATTGCGAATCAATGTTTTTCTTCTGGCATTGCATGTGAATTTTAAAAATGTAAATGGCTTCATAAAGTCTACATCAAGTCACAAAGAAATGAAGGATCAATCAAAGTAAGTTGCGCCATCAAAATTTTTGAGGAGGCACATTTGGAAAGGGTTTTCAATTTTGAGAGGTGGGCACATTTCGACGCATTTATGAATTTCCGGAATAAAAAGATTCAAACCAAAAGACGAGGAAGCATTGAATAGACTGCAAGAACTGTAATTGTATATAATCTACAATTTTTTTAATTCTGCTTTCGCTTGCATTGTTTTTAAAAAGAGATAAGCAATAAAATATCTTGGGGAAGGGGAGGGGAGATGTGCCATTGGCCTTGGTTTGGGTAGGCACCCCTGATTATGAGAGTTGGAATTGAGGTTTGTGTTCATTCACAAGGGCTTCTGTAACAACCTTGTTGATAAACAAACAGCCAAGTATGGCAATACCATTATTTACCCACAATATATACTTAATATAATAATAAATTATTAAAATCTGGCATTGACAGAGCCCATTTACAAAGTCTTAGTATTAATAGTATTATTAGTAGAATTATTAGTCTTAATAGATTTTTTTTTTTTCCAACATGACGTATCAACAGTTGTGTTGATAACTGTGTATGCCCACATTAGTTACTTCCTAAAACAGCTAAAAAGATTGCTATGAAGTCGAAAAACACACTATTTCTGTAATTTAATTCTTCTCCGAAAAATTGATCCTCATATATGACCAAATTTTTGTAATAATCCACATATGTTGTTTTGTATTTTTCAAAATGAAACTGCAAAATTTTCACACATTCGACGTAAGCTTTAAAAATATGTTGTAGGTCATACATTTTCCTCAAAGCTAATTGAAAATTATGAATGAATTTTTTATTGAGTATTTATACAATAACAAACAACAAAAGTATCCAAGCTCAATAAAAAAAATATTTACGGCTAGGTTCTTGAAACCGTCAGCCAGAGGCTGGCCTTGGCAAAACAAGTATTATTGATACAATAACATAAACTAAAACCTACTATGTTAATGGTAATAAATACAATGTAAATGCTAATAAATACAGAAACAAAATTTATCAAATCCTAATATCACAATTATAAATACACAATAAAATTTAAATATATAAATACATACAAATTTTTAATATAGATATTTTAATGTAATCACATAAATAATTTTTTTGGCTTAAACATTATTCATCAGTTAATAATTAAATTCTTGGCATAAGGCATATCTGTATTGCCAGGCTAATTGAATTTAAATGAATTAATTATAAATTTAATTGAAAATTATATTCAAAACAATAGTTTATTATATTAATATGACCATACTGTCGAGAAAATCAGATGAACTGTCAACGTTATTGACTTCTTGATAGACCAATTTTAGAGCTGATTTGGCTTGCTGCCCAAGAAGTGTCCAAGTGGCCATGCCGTCGATATAATTGGCTAATTATAAATTAAAAATGTAATATTCTTAACAAAATAGCAATTATGATCATTCATTGCATCACTGAAATATAATTAGATAGATATATATACTTTTAGTATTGTCTGTATTTAGCTCTTTAATAAAGTCTGTAACAGAAATACAATAAAAGTTGTCAAATTTCTAATACATAAATAACGTAATGATTTGTGTTTATTGATATATTTGAGGATGATAGATATCTTCACCCCATTATTTTTACATTTTACTAGTGAATATATTACTTTTTGATGTGAAGGTAATGAAATATAATTCTAAATACTCTAATTTAGGGGTTCCCACAAGGGGATTTTATAGCACAACTTGAGGGAGGCACATTTTTACTGAATTTTGATTTTTGAGGGGGCACATTTCGACAGAATTATGATTTTTTGGAGTGAAGAAGTTTCAATCCAGGGAACAAGGAGAAAAACAAGGAGCAGACTACCATATTTGTATACAATCTACGATTTTTCTAATTCTACTTTTTTTTTTTTTTCCCTACCCCCCAGGAATTTCTTGATTACAAAATACAATATATATATATATATATATATATATATATATATATATATATATATATATATAAATGTAAATGTAATTCTAATTCTACTTTCGCTTGTAATGTTTTTAAAAAGAGGGGAGCAAACAAATTTCTTGGGAGGGAGGGGGAAGTTCATGCGCCATCAACCTTGTGGAGGGATAGGCACCCCTGCACTGATTCATCTAAAGGTGCAAAAATACATTTCATAAACTTTGGGAAATACAAATACAAATATTTAAATGGTCATTTCTATATGCTAGTGTTTTTTATGTTTTCTATCTGCTTTCGATAACAAGAGAAATAAAAAAGAAATTTGGGCTTAGCTCTGATGCCGATATTCGTCAAGTTATATAATTGCGCTACACACAGTTTGTGAAATGTCAAAACACACCTTTAGATAACAAAAAGACTTAAACACAATAAATCAATAGTGTAGTCCAGGCGTGCCCATCCCCCTCCTCTCAAGGTCAATAGCATATAAACCTACCCTCTCTCCTCTCCCAAGATATTTTTTACTATATTCTTCTTAAAAACAGTGCTAGCGAAAGTAGAATTTAAAAATTTTTAGGTCATATACCTACAATTACACTTGTTGCAGTCTAGTTCATGTTTCCCCCTTGTCTTTTGGTTTGAAACTTTTCATTTAGAAATTTATAACCCATTCGAATCTGCTCCCCTCAAAAATTCAAAACTCTGTCAAATTGTGCCCCTCTCAAAAATTTTAATGGTGCAACTCGTACCATGAAACCCCATTCTGAGCACCCCTGGTGTAGCCATATTGAGGTTATTCTTTCCTGATTTTTTTTTTTTTTTTTTTACCACTACAGATTTTTTTGGGGTGGGAGAGGGTGGAGAGGACAATAACTCAATAATTTGTTTGAACTTTATTTCAAATTAGGTTGAAACAAACAAGATTTAAAATTACCGTGGCTTGGAACTTATATTTTTAAAAATCTAGAATTTCTTCCTAATAAAAAGAAAAATATTTTACTTCTATGTATTAATTTAAAAAGTTATGAGTTTAATTACTTACTACTATATTATGTCCAGTTTTATTCAACAATATAAAATTAGGTTTATAATAAACATGTAAAGACAATATTTTAATGAAACATCACTGGTTATCAATCAACAAAGTTTAATTTATCATAGTTATAATTTAATTTCATAATTTATCTAAATTTTACTTATTATGAAAAGAACGAATTACAGCTTATGGCTTTACCCAGTGGAAATCAGCTGCTCTCCCCCCTTTCAATATGAAAATAAAGTAAATTAAAATAAAGTAGCAGTTTATATAAAAATTAATTCCTGAAATGATTATTAAAAACAGCAGGTATTTTGTTAATTTCAAAATTTCGAGTCCTACGTTCTGAAATAAACTGATTATGAAATAAACATTTATTCTCCTCTGATTAATTAATCCCCCTCGCCCATTCTGTCTAGGTCTGTTTATCTAATAAATTCTTGAAATATTCTCAATCATTAATTTATTCTAAAGGGACAACAGTTCCAGAATAATAAGAAATATTTTCATTTATTCATTCATTCATTCATTCATTAAAAATATCTTTTAATATAAATACCTTACATCAACTAAGAAAGTAATTTTATCTTTGTTATTTCACAATCCTTACATTTTTTCCTTTTGGTATGATTTTTGAGAAGTCAACTTGACTGTTATTCAAAAAGGAGTCAGTCTCTGTCAAAAATGAGTTGGTTATTTATATCGGTTTTCTAAATATTTTTTTTTCAACAATCCCTGACCAAATTAGTAGTTAACTGTTTGTTACAACTATTTTCACTGTTCATATATAGATATCTTGATGATGAATCTATGGACTAAGCTCGAGTACATGCCAGAAGAGTGACTCCCAAAACTTTGTTTTAATAGATTTAAAATAGTAGACAAGGATAAGCCTGACATAGACTTCAATTGGGTTTCTCAATTTAGAGCAATAGCCGAACTTAATGCCTTTGCAGAAGAGCTTTCTGTTCACCACACAAACGGACTTCTTTTATACCAATACGACATTCTTGAAAAAGCATACAACTATTATTTCTCAGCCAAAATACAAAGAGCTTTAAACTCCACTAGCTACCCTTTATACAGAATGCTATGCAGTTACAATGCTGATCCTGAAACGTACCTTACATTCAAAGTCCATATAAAGCAATTGAGATGTATTAGTCAATTAAGAGTTGCAAACCCAGAACACATCAGATTCTATGCAAAAAACAGAACTTTTTCGATTGAGTCTCAAGAAACCTGTATATCATGCAGTCAATTTATCTACAATAGTCTACATCACATTCTCCTTCACTGCCCAGCATACAATGACTATAGACAAAAATTCCTTCAAAACTTCATCTCAAAATCTTCTGATAACCATAACATCAAATCCATATTGAATATCGATTGTATAGATAAGTTAAATAAAATTTACTATTATATGATGGGAGTACACAAAGTACATACACAAAATTGTTGATAGCCCATGTTCTATTAAGTGTTTGTTTTTAGTTTATCTTAAAAGTAATATTTTGTTTATATTTATAAATATTTTTATTTTTTATTGTTTCTATCATAGTAACAGGTTCATATAACTATTATTATGCAGTAATCGTTTTATGTTTTTAATTTTTATTGTTATTCATGTTTTGTGAAACCCATTCTAAACATAAAATATTGTAAATTTTATTTATATTTAAATGATATGTATGTAAATTTGTAAAACCATATTATTGTACAATAGCCAAGCTAGGCTCTATTTGTATGGGGAACCCCCCAAAAACAAATAAAATATCTATCTATCTATATAGATACCTTATGTTAAATAAGACTAATTTCTTTTTCATTTGTTTTTTAAACTATCAAAAAGTTCATTATTTATACTTGCTGTCATATCTTTCAGCACCCAATAATTCTACTTTTATTTTATTTCAGTATTAGAAATAGCATGTTGAGAATAGAGCTATTATCCACCTTGTATTGATTTTACTGGTATATATTTTACAGGGGTTGGCTGTCCATTGCAGACTGGGGAGGGGTCGAAGTGGTACGATGGCTGCTTGTTACCTAGTAGGTATCTACAACCAGAAACCAGATAGGGCAGTTACTACAATAAGGATGCTGCAGCCGGGTGCCATTGAAACATATTCTCAAGAGAAGATGGTTCGGACTTACTACGACGTCGTAAGGAGCAGAGAGGAAGAACAATTAATGGAGGAAGTTGAAGCATTTATCGGTAGACTCCCTCGTCCTAAATGGGACTTTAAATTTAGGCCTAGAAGAATAATTGATGAGTTAGATTTTTAAAAAATCCTTGTAAATTAATCTTGATCTTATAACAGAAAGAAGAAGAAAAACAGAAAATTTATTTTCAGGTCATGATGTAATATTATCATTTGTATTCAGATTCATGTAATAGATGATTCTTAGAAATAAATAAGAAAGTAAAGTTATGAAAAATAAAAATAGGAAAATATTATTTTAAATAAAAATATAATACTAAAAAGTTGGTAAAATAACCATTATGATAAATGTAAGATTAATTAGGATATAGAATATATTATACCTAACAAAGTTTCAAGAAATAAACTTACAGATATGCAATAGCAATATGGAAGAACCTCTATCACTAATTTGCAATTGCCTGTGGGGAAAATAGTAATTTCATTTACAAAAAAATTAAAATTGAACGCATTTGAAAACAGTTTTAGTAATTTTTGTTGTTATTGTTTTTGTTTTTTTTTAATTAGTCTTTAGGTTTAAAAATATTTATTGCTTATCAGACCTTTTAAAGATTGATTTTCTTTATATACCTATTTGATTTATCATAATAAACATTTTGAAAATTAGAGTAAAATTTCATAAATATTGCATATTAATAATACAAATTAATTTAGGTTTCAGATTAAAAAAAAAAATTTTTTTTAAATAAAAGTTATTTTTATAACTTTTTATTTTCCGTATCTAAATAAATTATATTCACAAATGAGAAACAAAATAATAAATTATTAAGATCAAACTAAGGATCATTTTGACATTACTTTTTCAAGTGAAATACAGTGGTGTGAAAAAATCTTTGAAAAAACTAAATTTTTGAAAGAAAAAAACATCTTCTTTTTACAGTCTCATATATTTATGTTCAGGAAGGAGCTTTCGGTGCTCTGTACCATATTCATCTATACAATATTTTTAAATTCATATTAAATTAGAATATGTATACATATAAATATATAAATATACAACAATCATACATTATACATATATAACCACACAATAAATTAGAAAAGTTATATATTAAATTTGTTAATTGTCACTACAGGAATACGCCAATATTTCCACATTCCTTTACAATGCTCATTCAATCCATTTTCTGGGCTTCATTCTTTGTACAAATTTTTATCAATCATTATAGATTAGTGTCTAAATTTATAAAAAAAAATTTGATTGGGCTTTTAATCTGTAAGTTGAAAAATAAAAACAAAAATTGTTTAAAACTATGGTGTAATAGGTAATTGAGTGTTATAATTCAGTCTGTTTTAATTAACCAAATTTTACTTACTATTTGAAGTGGTAGGACCCTTGTTGTACTTTACTTTCTGGTTTACAGTCTTACTGTGGGCTATGAAACGTGTGTTATCATCAGAACTCCCATTATGTTTTAACTAAATTTTTATAAAAATGTTAAATGTTTCAATTTAATAGTGTTTTTATCATCTTAATTGTAAACTTATTTTACCTTTCCGACATTTTAGATGTATATATATTTAAATTAGTATTATTTCAGTTTACAACAAGCCAAGGGAACAATTCATCATGATGACGTTATTTTATCTCCTGAATATTGTTTAAATTTCATTACTTTGTTATCCATTTTTTTTTATACTTTATTGTTAACATCAAGAGCAATTGTATAAACTCTAGGAAGCTGAGTGTATCTGTAAATATTGTTATAATATCAGAACTCCCCACTTTTTTTCAAAAATTTAATTTAAAATACCTTATTTCATAATTTCTTTTTGTTGTCATAATGATATAGAGACGGTTGACCGTGGATTCAATTTCATAAGAAATTAGTCGGGGTGCAGTAAAAAAAAAGTATTATAGTTTATAATAGTATATTTTATTATATTGTCCAATGTTTCGACATTGTAGGTCTTCCTCAGGGACACAAACAATACATATTAGTTATTGGATTTGGAAAGGAGGATACTAAGGGTAATAGGTAGTAGGCATATAAAGAATAATAATAATAAGAGTAAAAAAAACATATTATTCAGTCAGGCATTGTTGAAGGCTATATGGCGACTGGTTGTCTGGTGTTTCAGTTAACAGAAAAAATAACAGGAAGAAAGGGACTGTGGGTTTTAAAAGTAGTGTTTGTTGCCAAAAATTTTAAATGGGCCAGATAAGAGAAGTCAATTATATCTAAAGTTATTGAAGTGGTAATTTCCTGCGTTGGTCTGTGTAATGGATTATATAATTAAATTAAATAATTTCATCCAAAATCCTACAACCTCTAAACTTTCCGAACATACCCTAGCCTCCAATCACACATTTAACTTAAATATAATACATATAAAATACATATAAAAATACATATATATTAGCCACAGTTCCAACCAAGGCAAAAGACTTATCACCGAGAATATATTTATCCAATTAGAAAACCAAGCAGTCAATCAAAAAAACCGACAAACAAAACCTGTACTTCGTCTACTCTCAAATCCTTAACCTATTAAAACAACAATAATTTATCAATGGCCTTTTTCATACCCATCTTCTTTAGATGAATTTAATTATTTAACCCATTAAATCATATTTTTGACCGATATAAAACTATAATATTACATCAATGAGAACTTTGAATCAGAAAAAAAGAAATATATATATATATATAAGTGGAGTCTAATCAATTATTTCATACCTACTAATTTGAAGTATTGTGTTAAAGAAATTTCTAAGTTATCATTTGACAAAGCATTGGTTTTGGATGATTATAATTATAAGAAAACAACTACTATGTTAATAAAAACTGTTTAAGAAATAAATTAAAGTTGACAAATGTTTAATTTCAGGACCATCCAAAAAGAAAATTCAAATACCAGTTAATAATATAGAAAATAAAGGTAAACGATTTATTAAATGAGCTTTGTTAGTGGCAAAGTTAATGTACCTAACTGCTAATAACAACTGCTTGAATGTGATTCACTGCAAACAGTGAAATAAAACTGCTTTGTTATTTTGAAAAACTAATAGATTTTATTATTTGCTTAGTAAAAAAAATTATTTATTTATTATTATTTTTTTGTTTTATTATTAGCAAAAGTTATTCAACTTTGAATATTTATAACTTTGTAAAATAACCCACATTCTTAATCTCCTAATTGGAACACATAGGTACACTAAACCTGATATCTAAACAACAATGCTATAATAATAGCATGGAATTATTTCTTTACACTAATAACAAAATAAAGATTTATTAATGAGTAACTGGTTTTGGTTCATTTGTAAATATTTCTTTTCCACTATTACATTTTAATCTATCTTGTAAGAATCTTACTCCCGATAATTCAAACATCAATAATTAGAATTTTATGGGAATTTGAACTGTTCAGCTCAAGAGGGGGAGAGGACGTTCTTTAATCGAACTTGACCACTTCTCCCATTTATAATGTAAAATTTTTTACATGAGGCTGTTTATATATAAAATTTATGTGAGCTTATACATATTTTCAAAAATTCATTAAAATCTCTTAATAATTAGATTTTTTTTTCTTTCCTCTTGATAATTTAAATTTATTTTTAACTCAAAGTCTCGATAATTCAAATTTTTCTTGTGATTCCTTGGATTTCGAATTAACAAGAGTCGACTGTTTTATCATTCATAATTTCAGCTGCATGAGCATTGCCATATTTGACATACAGTGATCAATAATTCATATGATATATTTCTGTTACATGTAAGTAGTTACACACAATATTTTAATATTTATTTAAAATGTAATAGTATCAAAAATATGAGGCACATAGAATTAAAAATTTAATAAGTTTTCAATTTATTTGAAGAGCATTTTTATTTGTTTTAACCATATGAGGTAAGAATTTTTTTAAATCCAGTCATATTAGTCCACACTACAGACCCCCTTTTTATCAATTTATTAACATCCGCCTAAAACTTTGTGAAAGATTTCATATTATCGTAACCTACACCTTTTTTTTATTTATGAAAATCCTCAGAAATGAAGTGTTTTCAATCTGGAGATCGACAAACTTTGTCTATTTAATGAAGTAATAAAAACTCATCAACACCCATTTGGCGAGATCTCTGCTTGGGGTAAGAAGATGGAAGGCAGCAGCTCAAAATAGAGAAAACAGGTGATCTATGATAGAGCAAGCTATGGCTCAACAAACTAGCAGTTTATGATAGAGCAAGCTATGACTCAACAAAAGTGTCACAGTGCTAAATACTAGTCTAGTCAGGGTCCCATCAATTTTTTATTTTTTTAATACCAATATTTCAGCCAAAGCTTGTGGATCATTATGAGGACCGAATGTATTCAAGTACTCAATTTCTAATAAATGTTTATTTACATACATATATACTTTTTTCTTATCTATTATTGATATGTAATAATGTAATAATATGGTAATTACTGTCCTCTCACCATCTACTTTATTACTTAAATGTCTTTTATTCACTTTTTTAATGTAAACTGAGTGAGGAATACTACGGTCTGAATCAGGTTCTGTCTGTTCTAGCATACACAATGCTACCCCACTTCTATTTTGTAATAAATAAATCATTAAATTTCAGGGGAGAGAGTTTAAATGAAATAATAATTTGTAATGTTAGTACATTTCATTAAATGATATTATGGTATAACTTAAACAAAATATTACTTACAAAAAACAAAATAATGATGTAGAGATGGTTGACCGTGATATAATATGAGAAGGAGTTGGTCGGGGGTTGCAGTAAAATAAATACTAAATTTTTAAAAAATAGTATTTTTAATTATTACGCCGACGTTTCGACCCAACTTGCAGGTCTTTTCTATTTCTTTATTTGTCAACACTCATTTTCTTTATCAGTTAACCTACAGTTATCAAATGTAATCTTTACCAGTTTGTTGTACACTCATTTCTTATCTTTTATCACAATCTGTCTACTTTTAACTTACATGCTATATTCTCCTTTGTTTTCTATTTTTATTAATACTTATTTTCCATTTTTGTTTGTATTTTCTATATATGTAATACTTGATATTTTAACTACACTGTCACCCATTATACCTCTGATGTCATCTTATTATTTCTTTATCAGACAACTGTTTCTTATTTAATATCTACTTATAATTCATTTATTTTATTTTTACCATGTACCTGTTATATTTTGTATCTCTTGTAGCCCTGATGAAGACCTGCAAGGTGGGTCGAAACGTCGGCGTAATAATTAAAAATGCTATTTTTAAAAAATTAGTATTTATTTGACTGCACCTCCCGACCAACTCCTCAAAAAATAAAATAATACAATTTTTTTTCATGATCTTTTCTTACGGAAAATTTACTCTTTGTTTAACATTACAATTATATTTTGTGTAATGATCATACTTTCTAAATTTTTAGAGCTATTATGGGTTTAATATCTATAAAAATGAAAATCACAAAAATGTTTGCAATTTCCCAATTTTTAGGATGGATGGTTTTAATATTTTTATCCAATGCATTGTGATAGTAAAACGATTTCTACTGTAAAACTACTCTACAATCTTCATTCACTTTAATTGCCAATAAACTATAAGGAGAAGGAATATAAATACAAATTTATTGTTGCATAAATTATCAAGAAAACCTTTGCACATCTTTTTTTTATTTACTTTTTCTTTATTACATCAGACAATGAT